CAGCTTTGGACCTAGGTGTGGCAGGATGTCTGAAGGTTAGGGAATTTCTTCCCAGGCTTTACCTGGGCCCCTTCACCAAGATCCTTTGGCTAGACTCCAGACTGCAGAAGCTGGGAAGAGGGAAGCTGGAGAAATTCAGCCTTGGGCACCATAGGGTCAGTGGGTCATCCTCTCCATTGAGGAATGCTTCCCTAACGCCATTGCCTCCAGGTCTCAGCTCTTATTGCACACCTGCACGGTGGGAACCACCTCAACTGGAGGGCCTGGGCAGCTAGCTGCTTCCTCTTCCCTCATCACACATTGTGGGCCCAGGAGGAAGTCGAGCATAGGTGCATGCAGAGCCGGGGAGGATGTTCAGGACAGAGGGGTGAGAGGGCTCTCCCAGTGGAGCCCTCCTAGGATGCTGCCCAGTGCCCCTCCTGCTTCCCACGGTGTGCTCTGAGGCTCTCTCTTGGTATCTGTCCCATCCAGAGTCCGAGTGCCGGGGGGACCCTGTCCGGGACTTTCACCGGGTCCAGAGGGGCTATGCCATCTGCCAGACTACGCGCCCGCTGTCGTGGGTGGAATGCCGGGGCGCGTGCCCAGGCCAGGGCTGCTGCCAGGGCCTACGGCTGAAGCGGAGGAAGCTCACCTTTGAGTGCAGCGACGGGACTTCATTTGCTGAGGAGGTGGAGAAGCCCACAAAGTGCGGCTGTGCCCAGTGTGCATAATGCGCAGGTGGCACACTAGCAGCTGGGCTGAGATGCAGGCATCACCACGATGGCGCCTGGGTCCTGGTGGGCGCGGGGGCACCGAGCTGCCTTTCCAGCAGACTGCACTGCCGGGGCAGAGGAGCAAGCAAGGCCTGGACTGCCACGCCCTCTCCCAAAGTGCCTTGCACAGATAGGCGCTTAATAAATATTTGTTGAATGAATGTGTGTGTGAGGTCAGGCCACGAACAGTTGGCAGAAGGTGGCACACCTCTGCCTGCTACCTGGGACTGAAAAAGGGGGCTAAACCCTGTCTCCACTTGCTTCTCCCCTGGCCTGTGACCCTGGCTGGTCTGAAACAGTTAATAATGTCCCAGTAGCCTTTGGCCCCTCTGAGGACAGCCACCTCCCAGGGTACTGGCCTGGTCTCTGCAGCCACATTTACTGGCTGCAGGCCACTCTCCAGAAGAGCTCCTGTCATGCGGAAGTAACTGACCCTTCTTCCTTGAGTCACACGGCCCATTGCCTCCACAGCTTGGGAAAGAGGTAGGGGTAGGGTTGAGTTTGAGTAGGACCAGGCTCTGAATCATGAAGTATAGGATGATCATGGAAGCTTCTATGAGGGGGTTCTTATGCTTGGGGTGATAAACCCCACCAAAGAGGGCAAGGAGTTCTTGGCTCCAGCAGAACAGACATTACTGGCTACAAAAGGGGCACCGGGCCCAGGTTTCCCTAGCCAAAAGCTGCTGGTGCCTCTAGCAGAGGAAGGATTGGGTATGAGGAGCAGCTGGGTGAGGCCAGGGGCTTCTCCACTGGAGGTCTTGTACAGAGGCCATGTGCAACAGGAGGAAGTCAGATGACCCAGATACTAAAAGTCTCTGCCTTGTAGCTCAGAGCAGACTTCTGCCCATTCCAGGCCTTAGGCCTGCGGCTGTGAAGAGGGAGGTAGACAGGAACCAAGCAGATAACTCTCTTTCTGGTCTCAGGAAGGAGGCCTGAGAAACTAGAAAATTCAGTTCCATTAACTTCACTAGCAGGTATTTATGTACCCAATGTGGAGTGGGTGAGGGTATATGTGGACTAATTCCTAAACACCATGGGGTTCCCAGAGCGGCCCAAGCTGCGGCTCCTCACTCTGGAGGTTTGCAGTGGCAGCTGTGTGAAGTCACCAGATACACGGTGGGCTGACACCAAGGCTTCTCTTTCATGCAGAGTGAAATGTAGAAAGATGAGGTCTGAGTCTAGCAGGGGGCTGCTGAAGGGACAGAGGGCTGTGTGAGGTCTCACTTCTCCCTGAGAGGGTGGAGCCCTGGATCGTGGTGGGGGAGGGGAGAGAGGAAGGAGAGCATCCGTGGGCCAGAGGTGTGAGCAAGTCCCTCTCTTGGCTGCTTCCATCTGGAAGTGTAGGTAAAGCCCATGGGAACACTTTATACCTGTGTCCCGGCCCATGTGGACACCAAGAGGAGCATTCGGTGCTGGTGAGGACACAAACCTCCTGTGACTTTAGGACTTGGCACCTCCTATCGTAATAGCTCTGAGACCAATGAGACTCTGGATGGAAAGAGAGCCCTGCCCTGCCCAACAAGTCAATGTCCTCATGGCTGGGGTAGGGGGACAGGCTCCAGTTTCTTAAGGCCCTGAACAAGGCCACAATGCAGACTGGCAAATCCCCAAGAGGGCAGAGACCCAGGCCTCTAAGAGGCTTTACCCAACTCTGCAGTGTCTTTCTCTTACTCCAAGCTTTCAGGCCACTGTGGGACCCTGACAAGCAGCTACATCAGGTTGTACATGGAAGAAAAGCTTAGGCATGTAGCATCATGTCCCTTTCTAGAAATAGAGACGCTCTGGCTTCCTCTGCCCTGTGAAGTCCCCAGCCATCACTGGAAAAGCCAATTCCTGGGTTGGCATGGACTGGCAGGTTTGCTCACACGGCCATAAGTCAAACACCTGCAGTCAGATGGCACCTTTCCCCAAGGCCTTGGGATGGGAAGTGAGAAGCTAACACAATGGTTCCCAGAGATCCGCCCCGCCCTCCTGAAACAGACTTCTACTGAATCTGAGGATCAAGACTCATGGCAAAGTGAGGGTAACAAGGGTGAGCGAGCCATGAGCCCCATGCTCAAATTAACCTTTGACTCAGTGACTTCCTTGCCAGCCAAGGGCCTGGTCTATCATCCTGTTCACAATTGGGCTTGTAAGGTTGGGTAAGAAAGAAGGCAACTATGAGACCAGCCCTTTGAGAAATCGTCTCCACATTGTGTTCCCCTTTGGCAAAGACCTTCAGTTAGTTTTGTGGTCAGCACTGGCTATTTCTATTAGACGTGCACAGAAGACACAGAAGAGACCCAGCAGGGCAAGGCCTCTAGGACTTGGTACTTGGGCAGCACTGCTCAAGGCCCTGTGACAATGTTAAGAAATGGGAAAGACGGGCTCTGTTTCCCCTTTGCCTGCTGTTAGCCTAACCATGAAAGTATCTCTTTATACAGAATACTTACAGATTCTAATATATATTTGTATTTCATTTTGTTATAGTATTTTTATATGTTAAAGTCAACCTCCAGTGTCTTTTGATTTTCAGATGCTATGTGGTTGTGACCTTTTGTTTGGGGTTTCCTGGAGTCTTGTTTGGGTCAACTCTTAGAAATTGGCTTAAAACAGTCCCTGCGGGAGCTGCGCCTGTCCTTTCCCCAGAAGTATTGTTTTAGAATATGTCAGTATTGTCCATTGTCTTCCATGTGAATATGACATTGATCCACTGACTTTCTGCCTGCCTGGTCTCTTTCTTCACCAAAATGAGTCTGCAGCTACCAGGGCAACAAGGCTCTGGGCTAGCACACTGGCTGGTCACCACGGGTGGAGGAAAGGGTGCGTGACAACCTGGGGAGCCTGCTTACTCCCATCTCCCATCAAGTGTTTACAGTGATGCTAATGTTTTGAGCATTTGTCTACAGTCACTCACACATTTTACCAGATTCTGAGGGGCTTGGAGCATCCAGGCAACAGATTAGAAAGTAGCATATATTCTCGGACATCCTAGAAGGCCAGTGGAGTAAGGAGGAAACAAACATCACACCAGAAACCCTTCTTTCGGGAGGGGAGATAAGGATATGAGCGGCTGCGAGGCTGGGTCCCCCGGACAGGTCCTCCAAGCTAAAAGGCCTTGCAAGTCCTCTGTTGATGCCAGGGCTATGAACTGACTTACCAGTGAGCACCGTGAAAGCGCAGAGGGATAATAACTTTGGTGCTGTCCCTACAGCGAGGGATTTGGAGAAGGAATAATAGAGAGCAGGGTAGAGAAGGGAAGTGAAACCAAGTGGGATGAAAGGCTAGCCTGTCTGGGAAGAATTAACCAAGAAGGCAGTGCTCCCTGGCTGAGCGTTTCTGTGACTTCTATTAAAGCGGGTACCAACAGCGGCAAACGGAAACTCACTGCCAGAGCATTTTTCCAGTCTATTTGTACCAGCTGGTTCTTATCATGGCTAAATTTGCTAGGTTAAAACAAAACAAACAACACCCACTCCCAAACAAACAAAACAACCAAACCCCACAAAACTAGAAACCCCAATATTTGAAATTAAACTTCTGTTTATAAACTTCCTTTTTTTTTTTTTAAATCCTGGGCTAATTAAACACATCTGTGGGTTGAAAATTTGCAACTTCTGTGTTAAAGCAAAACCAGGGGCTGATAGTCACTCCTTGTATCCACTGAGGCTAGCTGTGGGATGGACTGGTTCACACTGTGACTGAGTGTAGCCATGGGATGGACTGGTTCACACCGTGACTGAGTGTAGCTGTGGGACGGACTGGTTCACACCGTGACTGAGTGTAGCTGTGAGATGGACTGGTTCCATGACAACTGAGTGTAGCTGTGGGATGGACTGGTTCACACGGTGACTGAGTGTAGCTGTGGGATGGACTGGTTCATACTGTGACTGAGTGTAGCTGTGGGATGCATTGGTTTGGTGGTGATCTTGAATAGACCCACTTCCAGCAGAGACAAAAGGATCCAATGAAGCAGATCACAGCTGAAACCCTGGCAAAGGCAAAGTTTGTGTTCTGCCATATTCCAACAGGGTCACAGGACTGGACAGCACTGGCTGGCCTGTTCCCTCCCTGTCCTGTCACCTGGGATCCCACATTGTTTCCACTCTATTTTCTCCCCTGAAGTCAGTCATGATGGTTTAGGGTAGTGCATACAATGCTTCTTTATCCCCAGTCCCACGGTTTACACAGTCTGCTTCCAGCCATATACCAATGGGGCAGGAAGCTGTGCTGCATTCTGTTCTCTCTCCAGTGATTACACAAACACACTTTAATATCAAAGAAGTTTAATACGCTGCAATAAAATAAGCGCCCGGAAAAAGCTCACAGAATAGATGTCGATGTTAGAGTAATCCCTCCCACACGCTGTCCTCTAGCTCTACACCCCATTCCCCCAAAACCACCCAGGAAATCCTTCCACTTCAACGTCAGTGTGGGCCCCTTTATCAATAACAAGAACACAGTTATCTATGTGGTCCAACAGGAAAAGCAAAGCACAGAAGCACAAAAAGTCTACAAGATTTCAAATATTTAAGAGACTTGGTACATACTCAAAGTTAAAATAACTCCAACTTTTATAGCTATACATACTGTTTTAAAGCAACTTAATATATTTTTAAATTTCATATATACACTCTCAAAGGTTCTTCAGGTGAGGTATGTAAACATTGTCTAATGAAAAATTTTCAATGTTTCAAACCAACAAATTCACAGCATACATTGAATTTTCATCTGTTAAAGACACAGTATTTTCCTACACTCACTAACAGTGGAATCCGGGCCCAAGATGTGTGCGCTGCTCTGCCAGGTGGCACCTGCAGACTCTTCTCACTTCACTAGTTTGGAAGGTGCTGGGGTCAGGAAGGGCTCAACCATCCACAGGCCCCACTCTTGGGCATCTGGAGCACTGGCTAAGACTCACAAGACAGCAGAAAGGAGCACAACCAAACACCTACAAGATTGACCTCGGCAACAACACCAGGAGGGACCAGTAAAAACTTGAGGAATGGTGGAGACTCAGCTCCCTGAAACGGAGCTGGATCTGCAGCCCCTGCCCTAAACTCATTCTGAAGGGTTGTGGCCTAATAGAAGCAAAATCCAATGCACACCTGAGCTTCAGTTAAATTGCATGGGCCTCCTAGGACCCCCAGGCCCCTCAAAGGCATGGACACTAGCCTAAATTAGGGCACTGGGCTGTGCTTTTCATACAGGGTAGGGTTGAACGTCTTATGTTGTAATGCATATGAGAAACTAATGCCATGAGATCACAAAGATGACCAGCGTACACAGGCACTGGTCCCAGACCTTGGAGGAGCTCAATTTTGAAAACCACTTGTTCCCTGAGGGTAAACAGCAGGCTTACATTGAGATTAAGTGAGGCTAATGTGGGGATTTTCATTACAAAATACCAAAGACTTAGGAAAGCTCCAGCCAGAATTTCTATCTCACCTTCGTGTATCATCTACAAGACCCTCCCCTCCCCCCACCATAAGTAGTCACCTCCCCAAAAACACAATGCAGGGCAAGTTCTCTCCTCTACACGCTTTTGGGCGCAGCAGTGGAAAGTTTACCTTAATGCACCCACTTCAGTTTAAAAAACACTAGCGAATCCCAAACACCATCAGAAATATAAAAAAATTAAAAAAGAGAGACATATTCCAAAAGCCTAAAAAGCTACATCATTTTTAACAGTGGTTATCTGGGTGTGGATATCTGTTTCAGTAAGTTTAGGACGGTCACAAGGAAAGGCTGCTCAACAGAGTCGGACACACTAAGAGCCTAACTAGACTCTAGGGACCACGGACATCTCGAGCTGAGGCATAGAGGCAGAAGGCAGGACATAGGCTGGTTTCTAAAGGTAAGTCAGACAGAGCAGGGGAAATATAATAGGCCACATATGTTTCTCAGGTAAAAATTTCTTACATTTATTCTATGGCCAAATGAGCTTTGTCTCATCTGTTCTGCAAACTACAAGTTCCTGGGATTTCACTAACCTTTTGATTGGTGAGTCCACTTTTGATGTGTCTGGTCTGGGAGAGTCCCCACACACTGCTATAGTTTTGTGACATGGGAGCGTGCAGAAGAAACAGAAGCAACAATTCAAGTAAACCAGCCTCTTAGAAAAGGCAAGAGGCTTCGCAAGAGCTGTCCCCCAACCTGATCCTCTGAGACAACAGGACTGGTCAGCACCTGGGGTCATATTGCTATGGAAACACATCAGAAAGAACACCTGGAAATCTGCTCTGCAGACCCAGGCACTGACCAATTTACTGTACATCTGTATATATATATCTATATCTATATATAATATATAACACAACCAGATGAGAATGGGGCAGTTAAAGCTTGGATTGGATGGTCCATTATAGATGAAATGCCCCACACAGCTCTCAACCTGCTGGTTTCATTTCTTTCTCCATGAGTGAACTGTGTTACGAAAGAAGTTCACTGCTCAAAATATATTCTTCTACAATACAATGCAAACCAACATCACTCAGAATATGAGTCTGTATACAGCACGTGTAATAAATATTCTTAGAAAACTATTTACAGCATTACATCTTGTGAACATTTAGATGAGAAGAGAATCTACTTTCTGCAAAAGTTAAAAAAGTTTTGACTGTCTAGTTCAGTGCTAAATTCCCTGGCACCTAGCTACCCATTCACATTTCATCTCAAAATCAGACTTGCTTACAAAGAGCATCTTAGAAAAACATTCTCCAGCATTGCTATTCGAGGGCCTTCCTTGTTTAGAAAAGACAAAGGAAGGCTACAGGAAATACGCAAACTACAGTTCAAATGGATGACAGTAATCCTACATAACTGGTCTCCACGCACCCTAGAGTCCTGGAGCTGCAGGTCAATCCAGCCATCCTGGCACGGTGGCCTGGTGACAGACAGGGTGCCCGTGGATGAGGCACAGGGAAAAGGGCCATGCATAACCATGAAGCATTGGTTCCATGACGTCTAGGGTGCTCTAAATTGCAGACCAGGAGTCCTGAGAAGTAAAGCTGAATACATTTTAGAACCATGGATTACAGATGGGTGGGACAGGGCCACATCTGCAGATGCCTGATGGGAAAGGGTGAGGAGGAAAGCCAAGGTGTTCTCAAGTGTTGCCAATATGCAGAAGGTGATGTGTGCCTCCTACGGATGTGTGAAAGGGTGATTCTCATAAATTCTGACAGTCAGACTAGAAGCTCATACTGGCATTTGAACAGGAAAATATCACTATTTACACAGTCGTTTCTTCTCATTGCATAGGCATGAGGCTGCTTGCCATGGGACTACAACCAAGGTCAATTTCCTGCACAGGTCGTAGAAGTGAACAGCTGAACGTACTAATGGTGCATGTGTGAGTTGGGCTGTTGGGAGAAGCCCCGATGCTGGGCTGAGCAAAGTTACAGTCCTTCGAGTCCCACTCTGATCTGGAATGGAGCATTAGTGGGAGAAGCATTAAGGTTCCCAATCTATGTTGTGTCAACCCAAATACAGGAAGGGGTTCAAGGTTACAGCCTCCTGCCATTACTGTGATGTTTAGGGGGTTGATGGCTAAGCATGAGAGTTGGGAGAACAGACGGCAAGAAGTTTTTGGAAAGCCCTTTTGACAGTTAACTAATTTTGTTAAAATAAATACTTTGTATAGAAGCATTTGAACAGGAAAATATCACTATTTACACAGTAAAATAAATTCCACAATGGTGTGTATAAATATGTACTCTATATATTTGAAATCAGTCACTATTACAGTCTCCTAGAACAACTAAGAACGCAGAAGCCACTGGTGAAATTAATTACCCTAAGATACAGTGGCTCTAGCAATAATCCCTACCTGTGGTATAAATATACAAAATTATGCCAATCTTATTTGTATAGTATCTTTACCATAAATGCTTCCAAACACTACATACAGCTCTAACTACAACACAAGATGTACATCATGGTACCAACTGGAGTGGGAAAAAGGTGATCACTGAAGGGCATTCAGACACAGCCCACTAAACACTGTGAGAATCTAGCAATGAGAGAAATTCTTCTCATGCGGCATGTATGCATTCAGAGAAGCACTTGCGGGGGGTGTCCCAGAGAAGATGCCACCCAGAAGGAGGCCAGAGGCAGGAAGGAAAAGGAAAGGCAAGGTACCAAGAATGACTCCCCAGATGAGGAGCTGCTTCAGGCTTGACCAAGTTTCAGGCCCGACCAAGAGGGCCCTGAACTTGTCTTGCCTAAAGCTGCTGGTGCACGGACGAGGTGCCATTGGCACACTGGCCATGTCAAAAATGTGTGGCCTGGACTCAGGTTTCAAACACGCAAAGATCAGCCACTAGTATTCACAGATATCGACCAAACTTGAGAATGTAAACCTGCACATATCCTATATACAGAAGACAAATGAGGGCTCTGGGTGTGAAACTACCAGTTCCTATGCTTTCAGAGAGGCACTACTGTAGGCTCTAAGTCCACTGGAAATCAGCATGTGCCAACACTGCTGGTGGAATGTCTCCATCAGTCAAGTTCACTGTGATGCCTAACAAAGATGACTGCATGGTTTACAAGACTGTACTTTAAACTAGACCCTAATAGATACGGTGATTCTGCAACTTATCAGCGAGTATCTAATGAGCAGAGATGCTCTCCTTCTTCCTTACAAATACAATCAGGAGTGATGCGGCACAAAGCCAACCTTGTGCTGAGACAGACAAGCAAGATACCCAACGGACTACAGCAATGCTGGCCTATATGCACAAAGAAAACATGTGCCTAACTGCCCACACAATTTGATAATGACTTTTTGCAAAAATCAGTACACCAACCTAAAAGGCCAAGGAATAAGTTTTCTAGGTAGTGTGGACCACATACAGTTAGTTTTATTATCTCCGCTTGTCCAATTCAAAAAGTGTAAACCCATTCACTCAACCTCTGGGGTATTCTAATACCACAGGCACTTGGATGCTCTTTCAGGCAGGCAGTCTATGTTTTCAAGAGGCTTACAAACTGCACAGCCTGTTAAACAGGACAGGCCCACAGGGTGTGGAAGCTTCAGGGTCTCCTTCCTTGGCACACAAGTCTGTGCAGCTGCCTGTCTGCTAGAGGAAGAGCTGGGCCCAGAGCACTGAAAGACACCATCCTAAAGCTTGGGAAACGACAACTCCAGGAAGGAGGCAACGGTCTGAACTCCAAAGACAAAAGCATAATTACAGACAGCTTTTACATACTGCTCACCAGGTAGTCCCTTGCGTGCAGAAGAATGGGATGCTGCCAAGAAGCCGGCCCTACAATCCATCCCTTGTAGGTGAATCATTTTGAAAGCTGTCTCAAAACACTAGTTTCCTAGTTCTGCTGGTTTTAAGTTTTTAAAAGTCTTTCTTTGCAAAGGATTTGGGAGCAAGCCTAGGGAAAAAAGTACCTGCTGCATGGATATGAGGACTGCTTTGGGAATACATACAAAGATGTGACTTCATATTTCAAGCATTCTAGCATTTCAGTGGATACTGTCATAATAAAATACAAAACAACAGGGAAGAATTCAAAATAATTGGGCAAGGGTCATAGCTCAGTGGTAGAAGTCTGCCTAGCTTCTATCAGGGCCAGAGCACAATCTTCAGCACTGTCCACTAGTTAGGGACAAGGTCCCCATTTTTAAAATTTTTGACATGACATTCAGCTTCATTCTGGAATGCAGAATATAAACTTTTATTTGAGTTTCAGGGGAGGGGAGGACTAACACTCTGGAAGCTGACTGGATTTGATGTAAAGATAGAACCCAAAACTCCTTCTATAGCAGTTCAAAAACTACCATTTTATTGTTCACTTGCCTTTAATAAAATTATTTTGAAAGTGTGTGACTGAAAATAGATCAATGGTAATATACTGGCTGTCACCAGGCTTTTGTTTCTATGCTGGGAGCCTTTCCCACAGCTAACTGTGGCACTGAGATTCAGGACCAACAGAAGTGTTAGCAGCTAATCTCATCCGGACAGTCTTGGTGTATTTTAGCAAACACGTGAAGCTCTATGATTAGACACTACGGGAGGCAACATGGGATAGTCCACACAACTTAAGAACTCCAGAGGCAACTTGTTCAGGGGTTCTGGTCTCTAGACGGTGGTGGCTTCATTGTGGGGCTGGAGGGAGGGACTTAAAGGTAGACACACAGCTTGTTAAGAGTTGAGTTACTCTGAAACTGTCTCAGTGACATGCGTCTCTACAGCAGGAGCATACAGAAACGTGCTCAAGACAACTGAGATGGGGGGTGTGGGAGACAGAGGGTGTGAGGCAGAAGAGGAATGGGGTAAGATTTATTCCCAAAAGGGATTATTTTCTCAAGTAGGGGGTCAGCAGGCTTTTTCAAAGATACAAATAGTAAATATTCTAGGTTTTGTGGGCTTCCTGACCGCTTCTCAAATGTTTAATCTGCACCATGGACAACCAATAAGCAAATGGACATGGTTCTAAGTAAATAAAACTTTATTTATACATATGAGTTGCTGGCCCACAGTTTGCATGTCTATGACAGCTCAAGGGTAAGCTAAGAGGAGGTCTGCACTGGCTTGACCTGAGACCAAAGGGATGTTACCCAAACAGACTTCTGGGTAACTCAGTCTGTTTCTAGTATTATGACAAGCACAGACTTGCTGATGACAACACCACAGCATCTCCAGTTTGCATTACAGAGCATGGAGTCATTTCCTGTGGGACTCTTAGGTCTGCTAACCAATAGAAACGCTGCTCATAAATGAGTGACAGCTGTGCTCTCAGTCCAGCAGCCATCACAAGGCTGGAGACAGGCCAAATCCTGACTTACAGCGTCTGTCTTAAGGTGATCCTTGCTGATGAGTTACGTGCACAGGGGATGCAGAGGGTCCTTGGGGGAAATGGATGGCTCTTTTCTCTAAGCCACTACAGAATGATGAGGCACAAACCCCGCAGCTTGACTGTGGTTTAGATAGGACAGGATCAAGTCTTCAGTAAAGAACCCCACCAAACAACAACAAAATAAAAACAGCCAAACCCAGGGAATTCCAGGAACTAGCAACTGTGGGTCAATAGATTCAGGTAACATTCCTATGCTGGAAGCTACTAGAACAGAGAAAGCGCCTGGGCAAGATTCTGAACCCCAGCGAGACAGCAGGCCTGTCACCAAAGCAGGCTACACTTTAGGGAAGCCACACAGAGCTTCGCAGCTAGCTTCATGGACATCTTCCAGATCCTGAACAGAGGGAACACTAGTCCTCTGGCATCAACTTCGGCTCGAGCCTTAGACAGCCACTTTACAGAGCGTAGGGCCAGGAGCAGAACACCTTTCAGACTTAGGATCCAAACTGTGCAAGAGTGCATCACATATGGTGGGAAGTCATATTTGAAAATGGCTACAGGAAGGAAGGAGAACCAAGAGTGAGAGCCAAGCCCGGAGATACTGAAGGGACAATTTCCCAGCTATGGGTATAGAAAGGTTTAGAGCTACCATCAAGTTTTGATTTTTTTCTTCTTCTATTAACAAATTAACCAGATCAGCAAAAATGAGTTCAATAAACGTGAAACAAAACCCTTAAATGTCCTAATTTTGTAAAGTATGCATCTACATAAATGCAGTCACTACTGTTAAGAGTAAGCCGATTTTAAAGATGCCTACTGCACTGTTACATGGGTACGTAACAGACGCTTCCACACGGCTCCCGCAAATGCAGCCTACTATCTTGAAGTGAGCTTTTAAAAATGAAAACACACTGGGAAAGTAATGGAATGAATTATGAACTTGAAACTGGAAGTGTCCCACTGACTTATTTCTCACTCATCCCTCTAACGTAACCCAAGCCTTACAAGGACGTGGCCAGGGCGCCATATGTGCGGGCATCGACACACCTCACATTAGTAAGCCTGGCTGTTTAAGTCACTACAACAACAATATCCAGTGACAACTATAGAAAATGCTCTTTTAAGCCTTAAAACCATTTTTAAAATATTAAGTGAACCTACTCAAAACATATTAATGCTTCTGTGCAACTTAATGCTGAGGAAGAGTTTCGAGCACGCACTCAGCAGTCTCATGATAGGTAGCTTGTGAACGGTCAAGGTCAAAGATAATAATAAAAAGAATAATGGGGGTGGGGAAGGTAAGGGGAGTGAAGGAGGCAGTGAGGGAGGAAGTCCACGAACGTTCATGGGGCAGAGGTGACATTTAAAAAACATGAAAGCACAACTTTCATTATCTGTAAAATTCAACACAATTCTCAATTTCTCAAGAATCAAAGCTCCAGTCCTACCCAATTATCAGAAGTTTCCACTATCTGCAGCAAACCTTTAACAACAGCAAAATAGGTAGAAGGCCTGGTTTTTTAAATCATGATTTGCATATAAAAGAAGTCCATCTGGGTTGATCTAAAAAAATCTGAAAGAACCTAAGTAGGAACTTTTACTAAGAACAGGGCAGCAGCTATCCATGCAAGCCTGTGATGACAGAACATGTCAAAGCCGACTGAGGCTTTAGCAACCAGGTGGTTTGCTGACTGGCCCGAAGGAAAAGTCAAGTACACACTGTTATAATGGAGCAACGTCAGAGGCCCTGAGTAAAGCCAATGGGGCTGGTTTTGGCTCCACCCAGGAAAGGCAAACATCATCACTTTCAGTTATTGCAGTTCTCATTTCTGAGCCATGGGACAGAGTGGCATGCTATGGGGAGGATGGAACTATCAATCAGAATAGATACCTACTCCAGGCAAGGCTATTCATTCACATCAGGGAGTCCCAGCTGAATGTCACTCAGCGTGGATGGGGGTGTGGCTCCACGGAGATTCTGGGCAGCTTCTCTCAGCTGCCTGGTACCCTACTGCACTCCAAGTCGGCTGTGAAAGTGGTATTAGGGATGTGTATGGACTCTGCTTACAGATACACTGCGTGGGGAAGAGGGAAGTTTACTGTGAAACTAGTACCAGAAGACACTTGTGGCCAGCAACTACATGCAAATGCACCCAGATGCATATGCACAAGGCTAAGCTTTCCTATTGCTGAAAAGAACATTTTGACTTTCACTGCATAGGGAAGTACTCTGTGTAAGAAATGAGACAAAGAATAACTCATTCTAATGGTCAAATGACAGCTACAAGATGAAAATATACACAAAAAACTTGAACAAAAAAAAAAATGGAACGCAAACCTCACAGAGTAAGTAGTAGTACTACCATGCTTGCACGGCCCCAAACTGGAGGGTGACACAGTTAGTAGGAACACAGTTTAGGAGGGGGCGTTTCTAGCACAGCTTTTGTCCCATGGGCACACAAATTAGAGAACATGATCTGAAATAATTAAAATAAAAGGATGAAGGGGTGATAAACAATACTGAGTTTTCAGAAGGAAACAAATATTAATCTTTTATAATAATTATAAATCCCCTGCATTCTCCACATACCATAGAAATGATTTGGTTCAGCTTTCAAATATCACTCAAATAAAACCCAAACAAGACAGAGAGGGGAGTTGTGCTGCGGTCTGCAAGGTGCACCTGTCCAGGGGCGCACAGGCAGCTGCTGCCGGCTCCTCGCTTGCTCGCTCGCTCGCGCATGCACGGCAGTGGCCTCCTCAGTGACAGAGCAAGTGCTTGTGCGTCAAGTATAAAATACAAGCCTTTAGTCACATACATCAGCTTCTTAGATTTTGTCAAATTTTAAACAAAAAGGATAAATAAGGCACTGTACTTCTTAAAACAAAAACTGCTTGGTTCCAAGTTTAAAACCCAAGGAACAACCAGAATAGAATGTACAACTTCCCTTAGCCATGGAGAAGTTCCCTTCTCTAACTGAGATGCATTTTCTGCCATCTCAAACTGGTGTTCTCTGTAACATGAAAGGCTTAATAAGCTTATAAAAGCAGATTTTGTTAATGCAAAATAAAAGGCTCCTTCTATAGGTCAGTTCCTCTCTCAGCAGCCATCCAGCTATCACTTGGCATCTAACCGCCTCCGTTTGCCCTGGGAAGAGTCCAGTTTGGCCTTGAGCTTTCTCTTTCTCTGGGCAGCCCGGTTCTCTGGGCTTTTTGTCAAGGGTCTGGCTCGGCCACTACCACTGCTCAGCTTCCTGCTCCTCCTTCCGGCTTTTGGGGGTTTCGAAGAGGCTTCTCCTGTCCCCCTTTGTTTTGCAGGCTTTGTCAGCGAGTCAGAGGCTGCAGCAGGATGGCTAGACCTTTTGTTTGCATCCTCTCTCTCTTTCCTGGAAGGTGGGCAGCTCTTCCCAGGAGCCTTTTTACAGATCCTCACTTTATTCTCTTTCAAGGTCATCTTCCTGGACAGTTGGCCGACTCTGTCCTTTGCAGCTAGCTTCTTGGCAGAAAGGGCTCTGCTGGCTTTTGTTGCTGGCCCCTTGTCCTTATCATCCCGAGTGCCATAGCTGTCTGCTCTTTTGCGCTTGTTCTGACCTTCCACTTTAATCAAGGTTTCAGGCATCTGCTTCCCTCTTCTCCCCTTGCTTCCTTCAGCCCTTTTGGGGTTGACAGGAAAGCCATCTGCACCCACCTGGAGGGCCAGCTTGGGGGACATCAGCGGGTTGATGCACACGCTCTTTCGGCCCTGCTTAATTTCGGAAGCCCCACCAAGTGAGCTATCCAGGCGCTGGGCTCTGAGCTTTCCTCGAATATTGGAATACTTTCTAAGGATCCGGGTGCTGGCTGGAGTAGGCAAGTTGGTGGGAGGACGGCTATTTCTACCTTCCCTGACTTCCTCCGCACTGTCTTCACTGTTAGGGCCGAGGCTGATGTCACTGCCAGCCTCTGGTTCTACCCCGCCAGAATGCTCTCGTAGTTTAGCCCATAGCTTTTGTGTTTTCCAATTATTCCTAGCAGGAATGGCTCCAGGAAATTTCTTTAAGTGTTTTTTCAAGCGTTCTGCCTGTAGTGAACTAGGGTACAGGGTGGAAGGAGGGTACTTCTGAAGAGGGTGTTTAACAAGGGGTACGTCTCCTGGAAGACGAGTATTTAATTTCTTCACAATCACCAGAGACCGAGTTTCTGTTGTCTCTAAGAACCACTTACAAATATTAGACAGTTTAAAGTTCGTCATAAACAGCATCTGAACAGGAGAGAACTTCTGCACCTCCAATGAACCCCTACACTTCCGTGACCTCTTCTTGCTCTTCCAAATCTCCTTCAGCTTGTCGGACTTGCTCCTTGCTCTTGCTGTTGGCTGCGCTTCTTTCTCCAACTGGATCCAGCCCTTCTGAACTTTCAGGTACTGGGCGTTGAAGTTGGCGATCAGCTCCTGGTTCTCTTCCTCTGCACACCATCCCATGAACTTGGGCTGCTCCTCCACCACCGTGTCTGCATCATCCTCATCTAAGGACTCCACACTCTTGGAAGCTTCATTTTCCTTTGGTGCTGGGTTGACTTGTGTGACTTTCTTCTCAGAAGTCACTTTTGTAGTGTCCAAGGCATCCACACAATGATGGTTGTGTCTCAGGTTGTAGGTTGAAGACGGCAATCTCTTAGGCCGTGTTACCAATTTTGATGGCCCAGCAGAATCACCATTCTGACTGGCTGATATCCCAGCTAAGTTAGATGTAGCAAGACCAGCGTCATATTTAGAGCGGGTGTCCTCAGCATCTACCACACTCACAGAGGCTTCCACATCCTTTGTGGCAATGTGTCCCGGCTTCTCTTTTCCCTGCTCTGGGTCCCTTTTACAAGGAATGCTTTCTGAGGGCACACGTGTACCTCTCTCATCTAGTTTGGGCCAGAGACTGATTTCCAGATTCTCCCCAGGCAGTGGCTGGCTGACTGTGGTAGGGTCACTGCTTGGGGAAGTCTCCCCTTCTTCTCTTTTGACTTCCTTTGCTAGCAGGCTTTTAAGAGTCTGCCTTGTGATGACTCCCACTCCTTCACCCTCCTGCTTGATATCTTCATCCGAGGAACGTTCACTGACACTGGGGTTTTCAGTGTCCTCCAGATCTTCTCTATGGATGTCAATCACTGAGCCCTCAGGTGTTGCCCCACCAGAGTGCCCTTCTCTTTTAGAACGCTTTACAGTAGGATTTTTAGAAACCTTGATTTCAGGGCAAGCAGTGGATGAATCCAAACCCTGGCTTCCTGGGTACTTGTCAGCAGAGGATGACTCTACAAGCTGACTTCTTAGGCACCTATCAGAGGCCTCAGGGAGCTTTTTACCCTTTTTCTTCTTGTCCACATTCTCAGGTGAGTCAACATTTGCCTGACTTGGGTCATTTTCTGACGAGTATCTTACATCACTGTCAGGCATCTCCAGCTGTCCTGCTCCACTTGCTGCCTCAGCTCCCTCAGGCTCACTTGGGTTCTCATCACTGACAAAGTTGCTTTCCAGGGGGGGCATGGCGGCTTCTAGCAACAGTGTCTCCCCAGAGATGTCTTCAGTTTCAGCCTCGGTACTGATGCTTTGGTCATGCTCAGACAGTTCTAGACCTAGGGGAGGATCAAAATCCACAGTAGGACTTTCATTTTCTGAGCACAGAGAATGCTCTTCTCTGATGACTGTTTCAGGAGAAGACTGAGGTCTATAGAGCAGGTCTTCACTGTCTTCTCCAGAGATGAAGGGGGTGCTTCTGGTTGTGGGAGCCAGGTGGCACTCCTGGAGTGTATGTGTTTCCTCTGAACCCCAAAGAGAAGCTGATGGCTGATCTTGCTCAAGGAAAGATAGTACACTTGCTGTGGGAGGTGAGACCACAATGCTATCTTCTGGAACATCAGGCATATCCTCGTCAGGCAGTGGAGCAGGCAGAAGATGTGCTGGGCTATAGGTTGTGGTCTCTCCTGGCCTAGGGGAGCTGCTAAGATCCTGTTCATTCACAGTAAGGCAAACCTCTGGCTCCCGATGCTCTTTAGCTGATGACATGTCTTTGTCTCCTTCTTCAAGGGCAATGGTTCTTTCCTTCCTAGAATCATCTGGGGTATCTACCTCCAGAAGCTGCACACCTACTGTGGGAAGTTGCTCATCTACTGTGGGAAGCTGCACACCTACTGTGGGAAGTTGCTCACCTACTGTGGGAAGTTGCTCACTTACTGTGGGAAGTTGCTCACCTACTGTGGGAAGCTGCACACCTACTGTGGGAAGTTGCTCACCTACTGTAGGAAGCTGCTCACCTACTGTGGGAAGTTGCTCATCTACTGTGGGAAGTTGCTCATCTACTGTGGGAAGCTGCTCACCTACTGTGGGAAGCTGCTCACCTACTGTAGGAAGTTGCTCACCTACTGTGGGAAGTTGCTCACCTACTGTAGAAAGTTGCTCACCTACTGTGGGAAGTTTCTCACCTACTGTAGAAAGTTGCTCATCTACTGTGGGAAGCTGCTCACGTACTGTGGGAAGCTGCTCACCTACTATGGGAAGCTGTATATCTACTGTATGCTTTGAGGTGGAAATTGTAGGAGTCTGTTTGGGAGTCACCACTGCCTCTGGTACTATTGGTGAGCAGCTTCCCTTTTCTTGGGAACGTAAATTTCTGGCCAGTGTGCGAACAGTTGGCAGTTCACAACAATCACCATTAAAAAAGTATCCCCGGGTACTCTTTCGGGCTGTTTTACGAGAAGATAATATGGATCTTTGATTTTCAAAGTGGCATTCTGTTATTGGTTGACTGATGTAAACAACATCACACTGGTTGTCATAATCATTTATCCTCAAACCCGATGCCCTCTTACTCTTCCGAGCAGTCTTGATGGAGGCTGATATCATCTTGGTTCGTGAGTGACCATTGGATGCTCTGTGTACAGCTGGAGTGGAGCTGGGAGCTAGCCAATCACCTTTGGAATGATCAAAATGGCCCATGTCACTGGGGTATGTCTGGTAACCCACCTTGTTTCTACCCAGTGAATGAAGATGGTTCTCTTGCTTTGGCCTTTCATCTTGTTCATCTCCCTCTAAATCCTGGTGTAAGGATGTTTTTGAGCTGCACTGTAAAGCATTCTCTTTGTCTGCAGTACTAGATGAGTTTCCCATAAACCCTGAGTCCCAAGTCTCTTCTGATAAAGCTTTGAATGAGTTTCTTTGAGAAACACAGCTACCACTCTCTTCAGTATTCTCAGTTGTCTCTTCCACTGCAGTCAGACTTTCGACTGAGGCTGGGGCGTGGTCTTCAGTATCCTCACGGGGCTTCAAGCTGGTGTCTTGTTCCTGCCCAGTGGTTTGGCCCTCTAAGCTTTTGGGACTGTGGAGGGAGTTAAAAGAGGAAGAATCCAATGCAGTGAGACATCCCACTGTGGGACTGTCTGCTGATCCTCTGGAGTTAGGTCGAGCATCTGGAATTTCAGAGGACTCTTTCTGGACAATGGTCAAGGAAGTCTCTCTTCCGTCTACAGAGTCTGTCTCAGGAGATGGTTCCTTCACAGTTTCTTCAGTCACACTCAGAGAGCTAGGAGAACCCGATGAGTCTAAGAACAAACTCAGAGAAGCAGGAGACTTCCCATCAAGACACTCATCATCCTTTTCACTTTGTCTGCTGCTCAGCTGGGCACAACCCGCACTGCAAGTGGAGACATCCATCTCTGTGGAATCCAGAGGCTGCAGGTCCTCAGAACCTGGCTGAGATTCTGTGTATAGGTCACTCAGGACACGAATGAATTGCTTCTGATGATGCGTGCACAGTTTGACCATAAACTTCTCCAGCGGGGGCTTCGATGGATGGTTAGAATCTACTGCTGATGCCTCTGATGAATCCTCACTAGACAAACAAAGAAAAAGAAGAAATTAGTAAGTGCATTTCCAAGGACTGTTTCTATAATATGAACTGTATCAGACACTACTTATATTCTAAAGAGGGAGGGCATTCTGGCTAAAACTGTCATTTATATTCAAATCTATCATATACTTTAGTTCAATAAGAAAAACATAATTAGAATATAAAGCCAGTTCACCACAGTCTCAAAAATATCAGTATCTCTCACACTTTTTTTTTTTTTTTTTTTTGGTTCTAGAACATCAAAGAGAGCCTGGCACATGCTAGGAAGAGCTACACTCCAAACCTTCATACTTTTATACTTAAAAATCCAGAAATAATTAACTTAGAAGATATATTGAAAATAAAGTTTGGTCACATTTTTAACTTCACATAGTCAACACAGAGCAATAGCAATCTTTTCCACAAATCTGATCCAAAATGTGAACCTTGTCAAGTGCTAACATAGTGGCACAAGCGGAAAACCACACACCATGCAACTGTTAAATGCAAGATTACTGAAGACACTGTGTAAGATTCCTTTTAGGCTGTATGCATACACTGAGCCTGAACTACGAATAAATTCTGACATTAGGTTGGAGTCCCTCCTGAGATATCTCATTAAAAATATGCAAACATTCCAAAATCTGAAGAAAGTCAAATTCAAAACATGTCTGGTGCCAAGAATTTGGGTAAGGAATATTCAACCTGTACTTTTGCTGTAGGCCAAGGCAACCGTGTTAAAATAACCACTAGTTTAAGTCTATTAACACTGACAAATATTCAGAGACACGGCATTACAGAAATCATCTTACAAGAATTTTGAGAACTCAATGGCTTTAAAATGATTTCTCAGAAAGAACAGTTGGCTGGAGAATCACTAATAGTGATCCAGAACAGGACACAAACAGCAATAAGAATTTTTACATTTATAGGTATATTAGACAATGGAACAACAAGCAGGTTCTAATTTACAGCCTAAGTGAGGAGGCAGATGTGAAATAGAAACACCAATGGTGACTTACCAGCTTTGGCTGGTGTAAGGCAGAAGTACTAACATCACACTAGCCTACCACCTACTCCCCTAGCTCACCGGCAGTGAAGGCAGAAGTACTACCGTCACACTAGCCTACCACCGACTCCCCTAGACCATTGGCAGTGAACATTTCAGCTACGTAGCTGCTCTGCAGGAAAGCTGTCTACACAAGGAGAAGCATTTGCTTTCTGTGACACAAGGTCAAGGTGGTGGGAGAGGCCAATACTAGACTCAAGACAGGTCACAGGCCTTGACCATTGCCTGCAGAAATGATCAAGAAGTTTCACAGTTGGTTTATGCTTCTGGATGCTTAGCTTTTAGGGAGCCTACGTGAATGGACCCCAGAGTTTGATATAACTTCTCCCCTACACACTCTTTTCTGTCCCTCTGGCTTGTAGATCTTTAGGAGATTATTATTTGATGGTATATAAAACACAACAGAACATGGAGGGCAGCTGTATACATGTGTGCTGAACCATTGTTGATGCTGCCTTTTGACTTTCATCTCCTGGGCAGGAGATGCCTTTGTAAGAAGGCTTGCTGAAGACGGCCTGTCTTCCCACCTCCCACTGGAGTGTAGGGGATGTCAAGTGATATGTTCTTAGGGGTGTTTTAAGGCTCTGAATCTGATGTGTTTTTATTTGGATGCACAGGCAGGAGCCCATCAGTAGTGTCCTTGGAGCCAAGAGCCTGCACATTAAACCCAACCTTTGTCCAGCTATCATTAAATAGCTAACTTTACAACTATAGCCATAAAATCACTTTTGGCTGTGCCTCCAAATTACTACTTACTTTTCCCCTCTAAAATGTTTCTTAACTAAATCTAAATTTAGATAATTTTTAATCTTATGACTTGGCCATTTAATTTTTAGAGTTAATTATTTTTTAAATTTTATTTTATTGAGCTACACATTTTTCTCTGTGCTCCCTTCCCTACCTCTCCGCTCCCCTTCAACCCTCTCCCATGGTCCCCATGCTCCCGATTTATTCAGGAGATCTTATCTTTTTCTATTAGAGTTAATCTTAACTTCCTGATAATTATATTGCTTCATTTTTCATGTTTGACTTTCAAAAAATGGTGTCAGTCTGTTTAAAATGGTTAAGTTTTACCCTTGTTTGATGTTATTCAAGTAGTCCTGCATCTTAACAGAGCCCGAATACAGTACTCACACTAACGTTCCTAGGCAACCAGCAGTGAACCCAGAGCAGAGAAATTCTATCTTGCAGACAATTCCCTCATTCTAACTCTCAAAAACAAACAAACAAACAAAAACCCAAAACAAAAAACCATAGTATTTTGGTTCAGTGATTAATCTGTATCATATTATGTTCTTGACACCTGACTAAATATGAAAAATATAGTAGAGACGTTGCAATCATCTGCCTGACTTTATGTAATGTTGAAATCACATGTTATTTCTGATCAACAGGAGCCCTTCCTGTAATAGTTAAGTGAATTATTTATCAAGCAGAAATACTTAAATACTACCACCAAAGCACAGTGAAATCACAGGGATTGGGAAACAGGAGAGGGGTTGTAAAAGGCAAACATGACTTCCAACTCTCAGAATTAGTCCTGGGTTCATCTCCTTGGTGAGACATGGCCAGCGCGGCCTTGATCACATAGTCTTTCTACCTTTAGCTCAATGGCTAATTTAGAAGGGTGTGGTAAAAGGATAAGATAATACTCATAAAAACTGTAAAAGGCACAGTTTAAAAGCAATGAGTTGCTTCACAACCCTATCTTTAATGATTTACTCAATGGTGTTTTTCTAGATCAGAGGTTAGGCACAGCTGAACTCTCCTATCCAGTCAATATTGTAATACTTACATTCCTGTGGTTGATATAAATGGTGGGCAGTCAATGTCTATGCTAGTTTCCAGGAAAGGACAGATGAGAATGTGGCAGGGAGCTGAGAGCCAAGTATAAGGATCTAGATTCTGGGAGTAATAGGTTTAGGCTCTCCCCAGCAGCTAGCTCTTGACCACCTAAAGACTGCTAGGTAAGCAAATCACCACCAAGATATATATATCAAGACCGACACTAACTACATGGGCGCTAATGTTAGACACAGAAAAGGTTAGTCTGAGAACATGAAGAGCAAGAAGGCTTTAAGCAGAGTCAACTCTGGCTTGCGTCTTTGAAGAAAACATAAACGTGTATCCACAGTCCCCTACCAAGGTGTACAAGTGGCATTTACTAGGCGGTAAACTGAAAGGATGCTTCCCATGTCCTCCCAGGGTGTGGTGAATCTGCTGAAAGGTTCAGGCTGGGGGGGGGGGGAATAGAAGGATGTAAGTTATCTGATAGGAGAAACGGGAAAGGGGACCCTTAAGGGAGGGAGGGAAATATCAAAGGAGGAGGGTAAAATAAGGATGTCAGAAAAAAGTCTCAAAAGAGTTTAACTATTTACCTTTAAAAAACTATAATACATATAATTTTGTATAATTTTTAAACATATATGGTTTTAATGAACTTTTCTCATCTGGGTTGATGATGCTTCTTCCAACAGCCAAAGATCACCTAACAAAAGCCAATACCAGACATGAGAAGTTCCTTTTTTGAGTTGTTGGCCAGGGCTGTCCAAGAGATTTCCAAACATACAATCGCCATTGGTTTGTCCCCAAAGAAAGCTCTTACTGCTGAAGATACCACGGACTTGAGGAATGGCCCAGAAACCCCTAAGCTGTGACCGACCTGAATGCTTTGATGGCACATTTGTCCTTAACTTCTCATATCTAGAAATTTTGCATGTCTAAACATCCATCCATCCATCCATCCATCCATCCATCCATCCATCCATCCCTCCCTCTCTCCCTCCTTCCCTCCCTCCATCCACAGAACTGGCTAGAAGTAAACCAGCTACAAGTAAAAAAGTAGAGCTGGGGAGCCAGCTCGGTCAGTGAAGTTCTTGCCATGCAAAGTCTAAGAACCTGAGCTTGTTCCCTAGCTTGCACATAAAGAATGGGGGCAAGGAAGTGTGCACCTAGTGGCAAGTTCTTATAATCTCAGCCTGGGGAAAAAAAAAAAAAAGGAGGATCTGTGGGGCCAACTGACCAAACAGTCTAGTCTAGCAACCTCTTTGGGGTTGCATATCAGATACTTACACTGTGATACATAACAGGAGCATTACGGTAATGAAGTAGCAAAGAAATAATTGTATGGTTGGGGAATCACTGTACTAAAGGGCTGCAGTATTAGGAAGGTTGAGAACCAATGCTCTAGTTTGAATTGGTGAGCTCTAGGTTTAGTGAGACTGAGTTCAACAAAATAAGGTGAGGATCACTAGAGAATACCCAATACAGAATTCTGGCCGCTACATGCAATACACACACAACACACACCAGCTAAAGCTGCTCATCTTGGTTTTTAAACTTTCTGATTTTTAACCAGTCAGTCTGACTTATTACATTATAGTAAAATACAACTACATAGAAGATTCAAGGTTACAATTTTTTTTTCTTGTTTGTTTTTTGTTTTTCAAAGCAGGGTTTCTCTGTGCAACAGTTTTGGCTGTCCTGGAACTCGCTTTGTAGACCAGGCTGGCCTCAAACTCACAGAGATCCACACCTGCCTCTGCCTCCTGAGTGCTGGGATTAAAGGCCTGTGCCACTACAGCCTGGTTTCAATGTTACTAACGCTTTAGGTCTCTCAGCAAATGGTGAGCAGTGAGAGGTGTGAGCTAGAGAAGGAGCAGAGCGCAAGAGCCAACCGCTTTCCAGCAGTGTGATGGGCTGAGAAAGTAGACATTTCCAACAAACTTCATGAGTCTTGCCCGCCAAACTCACATTTGCTTGTAACTCAATCACCCCAGTCAAGATCAAACGTACTACAGTTGATGCTCGTTAGACAAAGGGAAATTTAAAGGATGTAAGAGATGAGATTTGGAATCAATGGCATTAACTTAAAACAACAGTTCCTGAAGTTACACCACTCAGTGATGGAACTGAACACTAATTTGGTAGATTA